CCTCTGCCTCCTGGGTACAAGTGATTCTCCTGTCTCGGCCTCCCAGGTAGCTGGGACTACAGGCACACCATCACCCCAGGCTCATTTTTGTATTTTTAGTAGAGATGGGGTTTCACAATATTGGCCAGTCTGGTCTCGAACTCCTGACCTCAAGCAGTCTGCCCACCTCGGCCACTCAAAGTGCTGGGATTTCATGTATGAGCCACCATACCCAGCCTATAATTATTATTTCATATAATGTTATGTATTTAAAGGGACAAATATATGTATAGAAGCTCTGTTGTCCAGGCTGGAGTGCAGTGGCACAATCTTGGCTCGTTGCAACCTCTGTCTCTTGAGTCCAAGCAATTCTCATGCCTCAGCATCCTGTGTAGCTGAAATCACAGATATGTACCACCATGCCCAGCTAAATTTTGAATTTTTAGTAGAGACAGAGTTTCGCCACTTTGACCACGTTGGTCTCGAACTTCTGACCTCAAGTGATCCACCTGCCTTGGCCTCCCAAAGTGCTTGGATTACAGGTATGAGCCACTGCAACTGACCATATATATATTTGTCCTTTCTTATATTAACCTTCTTATTCACCATTTTTTCTTCTCTTTGTTTGTAGATTTAAGTTACCATCTGGTGTCATTTCTTTGCTTCAGTCCTGCTTTGCTCCTACTCATCTCTCTGTGCTTTTATTGTAAAAAATATTACATTTTAATATGTTATAGGTGCAAAAATATAATTACATACATATGGACTAAAAGTTTTTACTGATTTATTTTTTAAAAGTTGGAATTTTGGCTGGGTGTGTTGGCTCACGCCTGCAATACCAGCACTTTGGGAGGCTGAGGTGGGTGGATCATGAGGTCAGGAGATCAAGACCATCCTGGCCAACGTGGTGAAATACTGTCTCAACTAAAAATACAAAAATTAGCTGGGTGTGGTGGCATGCAGCTGTAGTCCAGGCTACTTGGAAGGCTGAGGCAGGAGAATCACTTAAACCCAGGAGGCAGAGGTTGTAGTGAGCTGAGATTGTGCCACAGCACTCCTTCAGCCTGGTGACAGAGTGAGACTCTGTCTC